GGTAAGTGATGGTTTTACAGCGCAGAACTTTAGTCCAACAATGCTAATTTATAGAATACTTTGCAAAATTTTATTTAGTTCTGGATGATGTGAATCTTTATTATCTGCTCTATATCAGATTAGGAAGCATATAACACAGTACTGCTATGTTTTTTGAATTCAGTCTGGTAGCTCCTAAAACAGATGATTCATAGAAATATCACTTGTTATTCTGGCTACTTTCTGCATGCTCGAAGGATTCGATAATTTGTAGCTCTTTGCTAACATGTTTTAGCACTATAAGTAACAGTGCAACTGAAATTCATCCTTCCCTTCCTTCTTTAGTTCTTGCCTCAAATACCAGCCTTCATATAAGGATGAAGCTAGGTAGATATAAGTTGGTTTTCCTTCAACCAGGCCCATTTGATATGTTTTCTTTTGGTGTATGCATTGTTATGATATTTCCAAGTTGTGGAGAAAAATTTGGAAATTCTCCCTCCCTTTTATCCATTTTTGGTTTGGCAAAGTGGATAGTTCTATCTAAGAGAACAAGTTGATAGAATGCAGGACCAATGTATAGGCGAGCATGTTTCTCCCTCCTCCTCATGTTTCCTGGTCGTGCCCATTTTTTGTACTCCCAACTTGCAATTACTTCTTGATTAACAAAATGATGATGATTTCATTTCTATTTTATTTTATTTTTAAAAAAAAAACTAGTGGTACTTTCTACTCTTGGATTTTTAAAAGCAAAGGGCAGTTTCTTGTTGTGACGGTTTTTCCTTGGCAAAGTAGGCACGAATTTTTTCAGGAATGGCAACATAGAAAAAGTATTCTATGGTGATAATTAGCCTTTGCTCTCATATGTCTTGTTTACGTTACAGGACATCAGGCTTTCTGAAAACCCAATTGCTGATCCTGGAAGAGGTGGTATCCCAAGATTTGTTTTGGTTGCACGATTAGCAAAAGTTGAAATCTTGAATGGAAGTGAGGTAAAACTCCAGAGGACTATGTAACCATTTTTGTTTTCTTGTTGAGGTTGTTGTGGGTCTGACGTAGTATCTGACATAGTATCATCCACCATGCCTTTCAGGTAAGCACTCGTGAAAGGAAGGAGTCTGAGATCCGGTATATTCTCCTGTGCACCAATGTGTTATTTTCCTTTAATAAGAATTGTGTGGTGCTTTTACGTAGCAAATTGTCTTACCATTCTGGCCTTTTCTTGCTTGTTGATGATTTCAATTCTTAGTTTTTCATCTTCTACTAAGGTTTTCTTATTTGTTCTGAATATTTGTTGCAGGTATGTCCGCTTAGTTATGTCAAAGTTGCATGGAAATCCAGATGAAATCAAACAGCATCCCAGGTAGTCTTAGTTCTGTAAGCTTTCATCCAAATAGATGTTGTCAGTTCATCTAATATGCAACTGCTAAACTTCTCAATGGACATGATGGTTATTATTTCAGCAACACCTTACTTCCTGCTGATAATCAGCCTCAACTTGATTATAGGTTTGTTGAGTTGAAGAATTATCATGGCATTGAAGATGAAAGGTCATCGGCTGGAACAACAGGCCCTCAGAAGATGGCTTCTGGACTCCTGTGTATGTATCCTTACATTTTCTCTTCCAATAGTTTTATGGAATGCACTGACTGTATACATGTTTAAATGATATAATAAAACTGCAGCTGTCACCCTTAAATCTGTGGGTCCATCTATTGGCGAGAAACCTCCACTAACAAAGAAACTGCCAGCTGCTACCACGGTGATGTTCTTATCCTTTTATATGAAGTAACTTGTTTGAGTAGATATTGTAAGACTAATTGAAGTACGTAAATCATTTTAGATTGGGAAGCTAAAGATTCTTTGTGAAACGTTTTTCAAGCTTGGGTCCATTAGGCCAAAATTGTTTCTCCAAGAAGAGGTTTGTCTCTACACTCCTTGTTCTTGATCACAATCTCTGTTCATGATGATACCCTTGGAATATTGGTCATTGAGTAGAGTAGCTTAGATTCTCATTGTATTTGGTCATTCTTTATCACAAGTTCTCAACCTTTAAGAGGCTTATAGATTGTATTTTTCAATCTTACCCTGTTTCCATGTCTTCTGGAGAAGATTGACAAGGATTTATTGCATTTATAAAGAAGAAAGATGCACCTTTTGTGTGAGCTTCTTTCCTTTTCCTTGGGTTGCACTCCCTCTGTCCCTTTAAACATTTTTCTTATCAGGGAAAAAATGAAGGAACCAAGAGGGAAAGGAGAACATAGAAAATATAGAAAATCTGCTTTTGCTCGGTTACTTGTTACTTTTTGCCCCCCACCATATTCTTGAGATACCATGCCTTCAAATTTTGAGGGAGGAAGAAAGCCAATTATTCTCTTTCTAAAAAGCTGTTATAAGAAAATAGAAGTGGGAGCATAATGTCTCAAACAATGTCGTGAGTCTAGACCCTACTTTCAGTTTGGAGAACCAATGGAAATGTTTTTTCCGAAAAAGAGAAGGCAATAAATATTCTTCTTTGTAGTTCTTTTTTTCCTTTGAACTTTCCACTAGCTTTGAGAAATAAAAACGTCAAGTACTAATTGACAAAAAAAAAAAAGCAGGGTTCCCCTCTGCCGATATTGCTTGTTGATGAGATGGCAACTTTGATGGATGTTGGAATTGGCAACGAATCAACTGTTCTTGTGGACGAAGAGAGTTAGTACAATTCGAAAAGGAGTTCATAACAGTCCACTGGTTTAATGTTTCGAAGGTCAAGGTATACAAGGTACTACTAAACTTTGTTCTACAAAATGCTTCAATTTTGCTTAGTCTTCTGATCCTGACCTGCTATACATATATTGGTTTTTGCCTAGAGAAGTTTCTTTTGTCTCTTGCTTTTGATTATGCACTTTACAATTGAATTTTCCCTCATAGGTGTTTACACTTCAAATCTGCTGGGATTGTTTGTATTGAGACGTCAAGAAAGCTTCAAAGCTTGACTTCACAGTTTGTTCAAATTTCCTTTGCTGAAAAACCAATGATGGAGACGGCTAGGGTTACTTGGGCCGTCTTAGGTGGTGAATTCTTTGCTCTGTCATCACCTGTGAAGGTAGGCTTGAGGACGAACCCTGTAAAACGTTGTGTTGTCTTTCTTCTCATAATGTTCTCGTTTCTTCTATCTGCACAATTTTGAGAATGTGTTTGAATCTATTTTCCCAGAACTAGCAATGATCATTTCTGCTCTTAGAATGTTCGAAAGTCTGGTCATAGCAAAACACAAAATAAGCCGAGGGAAGATTCAAGAAAGATTAGATTGCTGGGATGGCAAGACTACGAAAAAATTCTGTCATACATGATAGATAGAGTACTTGAACTTGAAGAATAAGAAATAAATATAAATTAGTACCTGAAACTAATTTAACTCATCCTTGTATTGCAATAATAATAATAATAATAAAATATCCATTCACCAATCAATCAATCGCCAACGATGAATATCTCAACGTAGCAAATATTTTCCATGTTCTCTCTCTTTCAAATCTCTCATTTTATCCTCTTAATGTGCTTGCTATTTTTATTACTAAGAATTTATAAAAGAATTTAAAGACATTAAGATCTTATTATCTTTTTTTCCACATTTTCAAACTTTTTTATTCCTTTCATTGATGTTCCATTGTCTAATTAGATTTAAAATTATGGTAAAAATGCAAAATTAAAAGTAGATAATTTAGGGTGGTTTGTATGGTGTTTTTAAGTAAAAATAGATTAAAAGTTGAATTTTCAACCTTAAAAACCATTATTATGGTGTTCAAAGGCAGCAGAAAGCATACACTGAAAACAAATAAATAAATAAAGTTTAGACATGTGAGTTTGTCTTAGGCCCGCATTACTAGCTTTTTACAAAAGGTCCAAGCATGATGGGCTATTTGGGATTGTGAGCTCTGGATTTTTTATTTTGGGAGAAGATTTTCTTTAATTTTATTTTTTAATCTTTTAATATTTTGTTTTTATTTATTTTATTTTATCTGTTAATATTTAATTGATTTTTAATTGATATTGATAATTTATTTTGATTTATTTTTTATGAGGTTATTGTAATCTTATAAATAAATGTCACAATTTTTAGTTGGTGCTTAATTATTATTGTTTATTTTATTTTATTCTTTAACATTGTGTTTTAGTAAAGTTTTGTTTTTTATTTTTTTATTTTTTTAATATTAAGTTTATTTTGATCAATTTCATGATTTTTTATTTATTTTTTATAGGATTATTGTAGTCTTAAATAAATGTTGCAACATTTGATTGGTATCTTATTTTACAAATGTTTTTATTTTAATTATATAATTAAATAAAAAATAATTTTAAAAAATATTAAACTCAATAGATTCTATCATTCGAGTCGATTTCATTATTCCAAATTATAAATTTAGCAGATTAAGTCATGAAGACTAAATCAATCTATAATATATATATATATATATAGTGTTTATTGATAATATCAAAACATTCTTTGCGGCCAGGACAATTTCTTGTTAGAAAAATATTGGCATGACAAGACATGCAATCACTAGTTTTTATTACTAGAAGCAGGTTATAAACGGATTTGAAGACAATTAGATCTTGAGAAAAAACACAATGAGAAGCTACTATTGGACAAGAAATTTGAAGTAAAATATTAGCTAAATCTCTCAGACTAGAGGCTCGGTATGGGAACCATGTGAACCATACATAGAGGCTTGTCACCTCCAATCTGTAATTCTTACGTGTTTATTCAGGAAATGCATCCTCCCAACTGTTCGAAACGCAGAAAAGAAACCGAACCTTCCTGCCTTGAACACCCAGTCAGAGCCCGGAGGTATAAGAGAGCTTATGAACATTCACTTCCTGCCCCCAAAATGAGGAATTTCTGCACATTGCTAACATATATTTGAAGCTTCTTTGTTGATTGGTTTCTCCTAGCAGCAGCAACGTCTCCCGCTGTGCTTATGATTGGTTTCAAAACGCATGCATTGATTTAGAACAAGGGAAAGAGCACCAAACAGGTTACCCAGAAATTTGAACTTGAGCTGCATTAAATAGTAGCACCATCTTGTTACAAACTAAGATGAGCGGAGGCTTAGAAGTTCATTCTACTATCAGAAACAGAAATTGACCTAAATGTCCAAAAGCTAAATCTAACGGACAATCTAGAACAGTAATCGCAAATGCCCAGCACGTCACCAACGCAAATCCACCTACAAGGAAGCTACAAAATATCACTTTCAGCGTGGCGCAGCATACATCTGGGTTGAGTCATATTGAGGATAGCCAGGCTGTGGAGAGACTGTTTTCCCATAACCAACTGGTGCAGTTGCCGGAGCGGCTCCATAACCAGCAGATTGTGGGACTGACTGATCATAGCTTGGTTGAGTTGGTGCTGGTTGAGCATAACCCTGCTGGCTGGCTGGTGCACCATATGCAGGGGCACTACCATAAGCAGGATCTTGAGACCCTTGATAGCCATAACCTGCATTGTTTGCAGCTTGCTGCTCAGAATAACCTTGTTGTGCAGATGGATATGACCCATAGCCCCCAGCAGGACCTTGCGCATAGCCAGCTGCTGCTTGTCCACCAGGCTGTCCAGATGTAGGAACAGGCTGGCCACCTTGCTGAGGATAGCCTGGGCCAGATGCAGTTTGTGCCTGATTATACCCATTGGAACCTGATCCGGACCCATAAGGAGGATAGGGTTGCTGCATGGGCCCACTAGATGCGTATGGATACTGTTGTTGCAGTGGTGGTGGTGCATTTGAACCATATGGTTGACTTGATTGCATAGGACCTTGATAAGACATATCTCCTGGTTGACCAGGCCTAGGAGGACCATATGACTGGGGAGTTGGTCCCTGTGATGGCATTCCAAATGATGGCTGCTTGCCATATTGCTGCTGTGCACCATAGCCTGGTTGGTTGCCAGCCTGTGAATACACTGGCTGTGAACTTCCATACCCATAAGGATACTTCGGTTCATCATATCCATGCCCGTAGCTCTGGTGAGAAGGGGCTGCCTGGGAATAGGGAGCTTGGTGCCCATAATCTGGACCATGGGACTGTCCATAGCTGTAATTTACCTGGGATGGAGGTCCACCCATAACAGGGGCAGGGGAATGACGAGAAGCAGGCCCAGGAATGGGAGCAGGCATTGGGCCAGAAACTGGGTGATCGGATACATGACCTCCTTGACTATAGTAATCATAGCCGCCGGTGTGTGTGTGAGGGCCCTGCACATTAGCAGGTCTTTGCTCCCAACCAGAACTGTAATTACCTCTTGGGGCCATATGTTGAGGATAATCACCATAAGCTGGAGGATACTGTGAGCCTTGGGATGGATACGGACCCCGATGCTGATAATCATATGGCATTTTCTGGTTTGAATGAGGACCACGAGGACCCCAGTGAGCTGGGCCTGTGGGTCCACGGGGTCGATAGGACTGCTGCTGGTTAAAGCTGCTAGAGAGATTTGATGGCCTCACAGTCTATCAAAGCAAATGACAAATAAGAAATTAGTGAACAGAACCAACTTCAATTACACGAGAAAAAGACTAAAGAGAAGGCTTTTGAGTCTTTACGGAGAAAACCACATCAACTTTTGAGAGCAAAACACCACAAAGACAAAGTCACAATTCATGAGAATATTAAAAGGCATGCAAGTTTGACAGAACAAAAAATAAACTATGTAAAATATAGGGGAATTAAAAATAAAAGCAGGGAGAATCATGCTTCAATTCCTTTTTTTCTTGAAGTCAATTCAATTCAAATTGAATAACCCAGTAGCTAGTAACATAAACAAAGCAAAGCATCACCATAAAAAGGAAACATGGTAATATAGATGTGAATAAGTGCAGAGAACATGCTGAATTTATAGAATTCAAGGGTCATTGAGTGAATGAAGTCCAAGCTGGAGAAGAAGGCACAATGAGAACCATGAAACATTATACAATGTCACATGTACCAATTTTGTGTGAGTTTCTGAATATGTATGGGTGCAAACATATTCCAATTAACATTTCTTTTCTACCACTAAAGGACATTTCCATCTAACAAAACAAATAAAAGAAATTTTTTAATAGATAAACTGGGCAGTCAATGGACCACCTCCTTCCATGCATTGCAGCTTCTTACATTCCCTTGAATTAAATCATTTCAGATACCCTTTTACCGCAGATTGACATGAATTCCAGACATATTATATGATTACATGAGAATGTATATATTCAAATATATTCTATTGAAGAAAAGACTAAGAATGACAAAATGGCATGGTTTGTTTGGAAGTTACTGTGGATAGAGATTTAGATGCTAGTAGTTTACAGTTGAAAATGAAAATGAAACCCGCAACTTGCAAAAACAAAATCCGATTACAAAATGAGAAGCTTGTGTAGTCAGCAAAACTGGTGCAAAAATTGCATGGTTGAGATGAAATTGTATAAAGTTCTATTGTACACGCTCATGATGATCAAGACATGCACTCAGACATCATATACACTAGGAATAACAATTCAATGTATATTATCAGAACCCATGCAGATCCTAAAAACCTAGAGATACCACTAAACGATCAAATCATGTGAGGTAATATCAGTAGATTAGATAGTTGAAAATACAAGGCATATTCCCAGTGATCTTTACTAGCTGAAAATGCTTTTGTAGCCACTCCAATGCAGCTTATGGAAAATCATAAAACATATAAAATATTCCTCAAATGTTTCAGCACAGAAGCAGATGTGGATTGATAAGTGTCGTTGCAATAAAAACTTCACATACAAGGACATCACCGGGCATTATACTTTCTTCCAACATGTGTCTCATGCATAGAACATGGGGTACTGATGAGTGGTAAGGTTATGTAATTATTATTGTGTAACTTCGAAATCTCAAAGCAATCTTACCAACTATTACCATCCTGCAATTGCGAAATTTAATGCCTGATATCTCTCTTCAGTGGATGACAGTGAATAGTGGCTGTCTATTGCTACACCACAAAAGCAATGCTGAACCCATGGGAAAGGAAAAAGCCAAATCTGCATTTTAAAGTCAACCAATTCGAAATCGGCACCTTGAACACAAATAAATCATGGCAACCGACATCTTGGATGGAATATACATCTTCCTAAGAGCATTCAAGTGACCTTGGAATGGATCATTCATCAATACCACAAACTCTATTCTGTCATGTAATTAAAGCTCTGGCTCTCATAGAAAACTATAGAACAGTTCTTCTTGACATGGTTGAATAGTGACTCGAACAAACAAACAAAAGAAATCATGACTGCAATTGCATCTGGCTTTGGAAAAAGCAAAACATACAATCCTCAGCTCCAATACTAATTCATGCATAATCAAATAAAAGATGAACTTGAATCAGCCCAAAACTCAATCTCCTAAACAAATGCTGCATAAACATCTCTCTATATAAAGGAACAGTATGGTATAAAAATTATATTCTATAATTTTTTTTTCTTGGACAGGATGCTGTCAAATGATTATTCATGACTATAATGTCTTCCATATATTTGCATGGGCAACAAATCTAGGTAGACATTGAACCTTCAAAAATCAAATCAGGGACAAGGCAGCCCAGGTACAGTAAAATAATCCACAAAAACAAGGTAACTATTAATAAATCAAATTGGCAAGTTACTAAGAGAGAAAGCATATTAGGCAATTAGACAGCAACAGATCGGAGTGCAAACATTTAGACCCATTGTTGACACAGTGCCTACACGGAATATTTCAAGATAGAACAAATCCTAAATTAGTATTAGGTTACACTACTGAAATGGATTCATAAAATCAGCTCATGAGATCCCAGCCATGAATTGATGCCTCAAGGAACCAAGGAAAACAGTATTTGGTGCATGCAATGATACAGATCTGAAGCTCAACCATCAAAAAGGTTCTGATACAAAATTAGATGTAGACCAATCAAATGCTCTTAATTTAATCGAATCAACACAACAATTCAGAAAAAGATGCCAACATAACAGTCCTCGTGAAGCAACCAAAATTACAGAGAACTCGTAGCATATTCTACATGGGAGAAAAAGTTAATGTGAAAACAAACCTGATTCATGACATCCATTATCATTTCTCTGGCCATCTCAACTTGCCTCTTATCTCCAGTTACACGTACTGTTCTTTCTTTAGATCCATCCCCTTCTGGAAGGTGTTGAGGTATCAACTGAAGAAAAACAAGGTTGTAAGGACCAGTCATATTGATTTTTTATGGGGATGATGTAAAGGTCAAGGCCAGTACTATCAACTACCTGAATGCGAGCCCCAGATTTGGCTTGAAGACCTTTGATGGTTTCCCCACCCCGTCCTATAATTAGACCAACCTGGAAACATGCTTACATCAGCATGGTTCAAAAACACAGCTAACAAGATATGCATCCAACAAAAATCATAAACTAACCTTCTCATTGGGAACTGGAATCTCCAGCTGATCTCCTGCTCCAGCAGTTTGTGCACTACTAGCAAGGCCCATAGCTACAAGAGATGGGGAACCCCCAGCATCAGCCTGCAACATGATATCCAAAGTAAGAGAATAATAAAACAGCATGTAATTGTTGAAAACAATGCCAAGTTAAGTCAATTCAGTACCTCTGCAATGACTGCATTGATGAGCTTCTCAGCATTTCTTATACTGCTTAAAGTCCCTATTAATTCTACTGGCCTTGTTGTGGATTGTGGATTAGCTTCAGAATCCCTTGTGATTTGAATTTTTGCTCCAGAATTATACTGCAGGTAACGTATAGTATCTCCACCCTTACCAATTAGAACCCCAACCTGCCCCAGCATTTACATACATATCTTAAACCTTTGTTTCAGAATAACCTTTGAGAGAGAACTCAAAAATATATAAAGGGAAACAAAAACAAAGCAACTGTATCACCTACATATCACGCTCATAAACAGTTTAATAAAATGGGACAGTATCATATCCAATTGCCCCAACTTAAGCAGCATGAACAAATGATGTGCTAGAATTATCATTCCACTCTCTTAAGTTAGAGATAGCGCTAATGAGCAATTAAACTATGCCCAAACCCACTCATTTATGAAGGTTTACTGTATGTCAACCTAAATAAGCCTGAGGCTTATTCAGCTAATGGAGGAATTTTGTTGGATTTCATGTGATACGTTGAAGTTTGGCCACTCTGGGTGACTATGGTTTTACCAATGAATCACCATACTATTTTATCACAATTCATTGTAGCAGAAATAACTTTTTTGCACTTTCTACAATGGTCCTTCCCTACCTTCTACAGATAGGTAAACATCTCCTGTTCTTTAGAAACAATGACTGCATTATCATAAAAAATAATAATAATAATAATTCCATTCACTCACATATCATTACCAATTCCACAGCATGTTACCTGAACAAACTTGACCAGATATCATTACACTATTACAAGAAAAGGCTTGGTTAGCACACCTTGTCATTCGGAACCTCCATTTTGCGCGATGTTGTTTGATCCTCAGATAGATGTTCCTCAGCATCCTCTAAAGATGGTTTCTCAGCATCCTCTAAAGACTGCTTCTCAGCATCCTCATCCTTGGAACCATCAACAGTAGGTTGGTCGGTATTATCAGTCTCCGGAATGACTGCATTTGTTTCTTCTTTATCAGTTGTTTCCAGTACCTCCTCAGATGGAGGCTCAACATTACCATCCTTCTCTTGCTCATTCTCAACACTCTGCTCTTCAGTTTCTTCCCTTGCACGTTCACCTGACTCGTCTCCTTTGAAACCATTTTCGCTGGCTATTACCAATAAAAACAAACCCATTAGAACCCACCCCCACTCATTTTTTTATAGCATTTTCAACAAAATAAAAAAAATCAAGATTTAAACAAAACTCATTATTGATAGGAAAAAAAATCGCACCAACCAAAATTACATTTTTATTTTCTTGATACAATATTTCTTTTTCTTAAGAAATTACTTTATCGACACAAAAAAAAAAACAAGAATAATATAATTCATTTCCAAATAAAATCATAAAAATAAAATAAATAAGAAATGACTGAATAATTTTGAAGAATAAATGCATATTCATAAACAGAAAAACCGAACCCTAAAAACAAAAACTTCAATTACCTAACCCATCGGTTTTTTCATCAATCCTTAGCCGTTTAGTCTCAGGCGAACCACCATCCTCCACGTCATCAGCCTTCTCCGTCACTTCTGGATCCTGTTCGTCGACCGGACTTGGCTCAGCTTGTTCAAGAACTTCCGGCTCTAAATCTCCCAGCTTTCTCTTGTGATCCGACGCCACTGGAATCACAGCAGGTGCCACAACCTCCTCCGCCGCCATTACCTCAGTAGGTTGCAAGAAGATTTGAAACAACTGTCGGTAAGAATTAAGATCAGAAAATGAAGATTTGAAGAAAAAAGAATTAATTAGATCAGAGAAGTTAGTAGTAGAATAATCTGAGTGATCGGATATGGTCACTGTTTACGGGATAGAGTGTGGTGAGGTTGCGCGTAGAGGATAGCTATCATCAAGTGGTGAAGAGAGGGTTTAAGCCTAAGGCTTTTTATATAAAAACAGAGTGGTGGATAGGTAAATATCTGCGTGAAGGAAGAGAGAGATCCATTGGTTTTTGAGGGTTTCGATGTTTATGGGCTCGTGTTTTGCATTGGGTCTTGGGCTTTCCTTTTTAGTTGTATTAGTAGTTTTAAAATGTTTTTTAATTAAAAATATATTAAAATAATTTTTTTATTTTTTACATCATCAAATCACTATTATAAAAAATTAATTTTATTTTTATTCAAGTAATAAAAAAATTTAAAAAAACATACACAGCATCAAATATAAACAAATTAAAAAAGGCTGTACTTTGTCCCAGTTTGTTTGGAGAAATTAATTATAGTTGAAGTTGAAATTAATTGAAATTAAATATGATAAGAATTATTGTATATTAAAAAAGTAAATACAACATATGTACCTCATCTTTTTCTACTTTTATTTTTATTTTTAATTATTTTTTTTACAGATCCATTTATGTTGACTTTTCTTCTTCTTCTTCTTTTGTTTTTCATTCAACAATCCCTAATATAATATTGTTTTTACTAAATTTGATATTTTTCTTGTGTTTATCTAGTATTTCTTTTTAGATCAAGACTTGATCTTATTTTATTTTATTTTTTGTTTTTTCTCGTGTCTGCTTGCATGTATAAGTCTTTGTACTTGTAGGAGTTTTTATATAGATTGCTAATATTTCTATTTTCATGTATTTTCATGTCATGTAGCGAAAAAATACATACCAAGTGGAAGATAAGGCCGTCAAAAACCAATATGTAGGGTGAATTCATAAAGATTGCAAAATAAATGGTATTATAAACAAGTAAATTGAATATTTACATTATGATGATGAAAATAAATTATAGTAATTTGAAATAAAATGCTTGTGGGTTAAGCTAAAAATAAAACTATAAAAAATAACAGAAAAATAAAAATTATAGAAACGCAAATAAAAACTAAATGAAAGTAATATACTAGAAAATAAATATTATAGAACAAAATTTAATGAATCTTAATATCACCTATGTTAAATCTAGTATAAATAAGAGTTGAAATTTGAAAAATATTATCTGAAAAACATAAAAGGTTTAGAATTATGAATACAATGGGAATTAAACAAGTCAATAGTTATATATATATATATCTGACCATTTGGGGAAGAAAAGGAAGAGAGAAATTTGTGAGGAAAAAAAAAAAACCTTACTAGATTATGTCAATTTCTAAATCATCTTTAAGAAAAATCATATTTTAGAATTGATTAAGAGAGATTAAAGAAAAGAAAGTAAGGTTTTAAAGAGAGAATGTGAAGAAGCTAAAGATAATAATAATAATAATAATAATAATAATAATAATAATAATAATAATAGTAATAATAATTTTTAATTTTATCTTTTAAATTAAAACTATTTTTTAAATAACAATAATAATAATACTACTTGGAAACTAGTCTCATCTCTTTCTGTAAAAGATAATATGTAACAAAGTAAAAAAAATATAAGAAATATCAATGAACTCATCCATATCCCAAAAAGAAAAAAGGAAGTATGATAATATTACCAAACTCAAGAAGAACAATACTAGCTTAAAACAAAATGATATAATTGAAGTAATAATTTTTTATTGATATTATTATGGCTCAATTATTACAATCCACAGTAGATTGTTTCTGCTGCATGATAATACAATAAAAGTTTTAATTTTCTTTGTAATAATATTTTTTTTGAAGCATTATATTTTAGCTTAATTCGATAACCATTAAAATCCACTAACAATTTCCTTTTCAAAAAATAAAATAAAAATGATACTAATGATATAAACTTTCATTGTTTCTACTAAATATTTTAATTTTAATGATACTAAAACATGTGCAAAATCATTTTAAAACATGGATAATTATAGTTTAAAATTAAAATTTAGAGAGTTTAATTTGCGTTGTCTTTGTCACTGAAGAAATTACGAAGTGAGATCAAGTAGTATACGGGGTATAAATATTAAATAGCACCGCCAAAAAATTGAGGAAAAGAAAGAAAAAGAGGAAACTGGAAGGTAAACCGGCACGCAACCGCCATTTCCTTTGATTCCAGGTTGTTCTTCTTACCTGCCATTCAAGACCCAGCTACCTTTCTGCTTCTTCTTCTTCTTCTCCTCCTTCCTCTTCAGGATTTTCCACTCTGCACCATTTTGCTTCTCAGTTCTTGCATGCAATACATTTTCCACTTCCTCTAAACATTTGAACCATTTCTTTTTCTGTCAATAATTTATCATTTTCCTTGATGGGTAGTTGTTAAAATACCCATTTGCATTCATTTTTTTTTTCTTTTTGGTAAATATCATCTTACTCCATTTTGAAGAAAAACCATTTGGTTATTCTCCCAGAGAATTGCGATAGTGAGGTGAAGTTTGATCCTTTTGTGTGATTTTTTGTGGGTTTCTTTAATTGAAGAGTGCCCGTTTTGATAATTTGGTGTTCAGATGGCGGATTCCAAGGCAAACCCGGCGATTTCAGAGCAAGTACTGCCTGATTTGCTAAAGAATACGCCTTCGAATATTGCAAGATTGGAGGATGTGATTGAGCATTGTAAAGCTCGTCAAAAGTATCTTGCTCAGACTGGAAGTCCATCTGATGGTGGTGATGTTAGGTGGTATTTCTGTAAGGTGCCTTTGGTAGAGAATGGTTAGCTTTTTTTTTCTTTCTCCATTTTTAGTCAGTTTATTCATATCTTGTTGTTTGCTAGTGCTTTCTTTGTTTAAAATAAATTAATTTGCTTTACCAGGTTTATGATAACATGAGAAAACGGTGATGACTTTTACAGTTGAAATTTTTCATTTTCAGAGTATTTAACTTCTATGAATTTACTTGTATGTAGGGGGAAAAACAATAAGAACTTGGGAACTTAGTTTTGATTATTTTTTGCTTGATTTTGTTTTACCATTTTTTTTATTTGCTTTGCTTGGTTGTGAAATGGTTTTTTTTGGCTTAAACACACGGAATTGGGTGTTTGGCTTAGTGTTTTGTCATTCATATTAGTTTGTGCTAATGCATGAAGAGAAAGAACTAACTTGCTAAATTATGAAGGGAAAGGAAAAAAAAAACCTCATTTTCTTTTTTGGTGTTTCTGCAGAGTTAGCTGCCTCAGTCCCACGCACTGAGATTGTGGGAAAGAGCGACTATTTTCGTTTTGGTATGAGGGATTCTCTTGCAATAGAGGCATCTTTCTTGCAGGTTATTTTAAAGACTTATTTGTTGGTTTGTTGTTGAACCACCCCCATTTTATGTGTATCTTCTTCTTATTCAAAAGCTTTTTCTTGAATGCAAAATGAGCGTCTATCCACTCTTTTATGATGTTGTGTATATTCAGTTCAAATGTTATTTTGACGTTCATTGGCATAGTTCCAGTAGGTTCTATTTTGGATATTATGTATACAAAGCTATGAAACCTGATTGTTTACCGCAGAGATTTGAGAGTGACTTGGAAAGGCCTTATGGAGCAACTAGACATATCTTCACTTCGACACCTGTCAATCCTTTGGCCCTGGAATCAACCCTAGAACTTAAAAAAAAATTCAATCATTTTTACCATTTTTTTTTTTCCAATTTGGATTTCATGATTCACAGAGAGAAGAAGAATTGCTCTCTAGTTGGTGGAAAGAGTATGCAGAATGTAGTGAAGGCCCAAATGGCTGGCCTACTACTAGTAAGAAGATTGACACCAAAGAAAATGCTGATTCTCCAGAGGGTGGACGAGCAGCTCAACTGCATGAAGTGGAAGAGGAAAGAGTTGGCGTGCCTGTAAAGGGAGGACTCTATGAGGTATGTAACTATGAAATGGAAGTTTTAACTATGAAATTTCCAACCATATTTTGAACATCTCTGTGGCCCCATCTGTTTTTCTGTCTTCTACATCTTAATCATTTATTTAAAAAAAGGAGATCATATTGGAATTTCTTCCCAGATCAGTTTGGAAAAGAGCATCAATAATTGACAGGAAAATTTTAGCAAACATGTTGCCTTCAAGGTGAACAAGAAAGGACTTTGATTACAGAGCTGGTTGTTCATCTCTCCCTATTTGGTTATGGTAGCATATACATGGGCACAACTGTAAAGAGTTATATGTTTATGATTCGTGATGATATGCTCTGGACTCCAATTTAAATTCAGGGCTTTACAGGATGGGGCATTTGATTTTGTAGATAATGTTCCTATCTTCATGGTGCTTAGTTTGGATTATGATACGTGATGATATGCTCTGGACTCCAATTTAAATTCAGGGCTTTACAGGATCGGGCATTTAATTTTGTAGATAATGCTCCTATCTTCATGGTGCTTAGTTTGGATGGGTTAATGATAGGTTCTGTTGTAGGCTGATTGGAAACAAAGTGTACAGAATAATTATGCAGCCTACCCCAGTGAGAATGAGTTCCCATGCCAGTGGTTGTGAAAGTTCAGGAGTTCAAATTAAGTTTGTTTCTTTCAAGTGGATGATGGAGCTTTCTCATAGTTACTGAAATATCGATATGATGGTGAAGAGGATGAAGTTTTTATCAAATGATGTTTCATGCTTGCAAAGGCCAGGAAATCTGTGGACCACTTCTTTTACATAATTCTATTGCTGCTGAGTTATGATGCCTGATTTTATCTTCCTTTATGCACTGGGGATAGCCAGAGGTAGTTGAGTTGATGAGTTGGTAATATTAATGATAGAGGTTAACATGTTTTCTTGGAGAATGGTCTGATCTTGTTTTATTGGAGCTTGTGGGATAAGAGAAACAGTCAGGTGTTTGAGGGAGTGGAGCAATCTACTGATAGATGAAGTTTGATCATAGAGAACAATATACTTTGGCATTATGGGTGGGTTATTTGGATTTTAAGCTGTTGCTGTGTGCCACCTGACATCGTTTGCTTCATGGCTTGTATTTTTTTTTTCATGCTGTCACATGGATTTGCTTGCATTTTAGAAGTTTACATTTACTGCCACATTGATTTATGTGTAAGAACTAATGGTGTAAAAGGAATCCAGTTCC